GTCAGAACAACTAGTATAGATATCCTAACCTGCCAAAAAGCCAAAATGAAAACAAGCAAATCTACTGCCACCAATTCCATTTGATTGAGAAGCCGTCGTCTATACATTTTCCAAGACTGTAAATCTTTGATTGCAGATAACCTCATCTTTCTCCCGTGGTGCAGTTGGGGGGTTTGAACTGATGACCTCGTGGTGAGCAGTTCAATGCTGACCCAACAGTGCCACCAGGCCTTCCTGTCTCATACAAGTTTGCAAAAGATGAGTGAGATTGTCATTTTTTTTTTCAGAATGAAGAGAATCACTTTGAAAACTTTCTATTATTCTTTATTGAATATGTATTGTGTCTTTGTCTCTTTATATATTAAGTCGTTTACTTCCCATAACAATTTCAGGGGCAGTGAATTATACAACGTGGCTCTTTTAGCCAAAGTCTCTAACTCCCACCAAAGGACCTTTCCCTTCAGGGGTCGGGGGGTGGGGGGGGATGGGGGGTGTTCACCTGTGATGAATTGAGAACGGGATGCCCTAGAGTGGCAGCCTGCTGTGAATAAAATGAGCCCTCTGAGAAGCAGAAGGATGGATCTCACTACCAGCTAGAACCAGGAGTATAGCGAATCCTCTGGACCTGAGATTCCTGTGCAGAGAACTTTCTGGGTCCAGAAGACAGTTAGTTATACCATCAGGGGAACAGCAGCAGAACCAGAAGTCAGAGCATAGAACAGAATTATGGACTTCCCAACCCAAAGAACAAGTAAAGATGAGCATGTATGTGCAGGAGGCTAGCTTATGGAGTGGGGTGATTCTGGGCACTTGCCTAGGGGAGCTAGACTTGCTGTGCCACAGAATGGAACTGAGTGCCTTTGGGCTGAGGCTCACTGGAGTGGGGTGCCTCCGGGCACTTCATTCAGGAGGTTGGGCTTACTAACCCATGGGAGTGAAGTTGAGCACCTTCAGGCTGAGGTTTATGGGTGGGAGGTAACTCTGGGTACTTAATTCAGGGAGCTGAAATTGTTGACCTACAAACCTTAAGTGGAATGCCTTGGGGTTGAGGCTTATAGCTAAATGGTCTGCCCTTTGGCATTTGTTAGCAGACTTAACAGAACTTTGTAACATATCCGGATAAACAATTCAACCCTGAGCATTTCTCACTGGCATTACAACTTGTTAACTTCCTTCATAAACCCTTTAATCATAAATTTTGTCTGAATTCTGTGTCACCATGGCAATGGGTATTAGAACCCAGAGATAAAGTGGAGAATATTAATTAATTTGTTACAACAATCCTATGAGATAAATGAGATTATTTGCATATTGGAGATTAAAAAACTAAAACCAGAAATTTAAGCAACTACCCCTAAGCGGAAATGGTAGAGACATAACTAAAACTGAGCTCTACTTGACTTGAAGCCACGGTTTTAGGCTCCCTAGACCCACCCACTACTCTTAAGACCATTAGGACTCCTAGATACCCTATGGAGCAGGATAAAACCACCCCAATAGGTTTCCAAGACGATAAATCTTGAAGGGAGCAAAAAACCTCAACTTTCTGCCATGGAAGAGCTAGGGGTTCTCAACTGCTGACCTTTCGGTTAGCAGCCCAACTAGTAACTCACTATGCCACCAGGACTCGGTGTTTCCTACAGATTCCCCAAAACAAAAATGGGGTAACACATCAGGAAACGCGGAGGTGTGAAAAGTGGTCTGTGTGTAATACTTACTATTTATCAATAAATACAATAATTGCTACATTTAATATTACTTTTTAAAAATTATTTTATTGAGGGCTCTTAAAGCTCTTACAACAATTCCAGACATCAATTGCATCCAGCATATTTGTACATAGGTTGCCATCATCATTTTCTAAACATTTACTTTTGATTTGAGCCCTTGGTATCAGCTCCTCTTTTTCCCTCCTTCCCCCCACCCCTTGATAAATTATAAATTATTATTGTTTTCATATCTTACACCAACTGCTGTCTCCATTCACCCATGTTTCTGTTGTTCATCCCCCTGGGAGGCGGTGGGATAATGTATTGATTATTGCAATTGGTTCCCCCTTCCTCCTCTCCTCCTCCCCACCTTTCCCCAACCCTCCTGGTATCGCTAATTCTATTTCTGTTCCTGAGGGGTTTGTCTGTCCTGAATTCCATGTGTCATGAGCTCTTATCTGTACCAGTGTACATGCTCCGGTCTAGCCAGAACTGAAAGGCAGGACTGGGGTCATGATAGTGGGGAGAGAGGAAGCCTCAAAGAACCAGAGGAATATTGTGTGTTTCATCAGTGTTATACTGAGCCCTGGTTGACCATCCCTTCCTTGTGGACCCTTCTATCAGGGGATGTCTTTTTGTTTTGTCTCTGTTACTGCTGTTTTGCCTACCTTTATAAGATAGGCTTGGGAAGCAAGCCTGAGGAGAAAGCAATGGGACCAAAGGTTCCAGAGGGATTTGGGGTAGGAGGAGGCAGGGGAAAGAGGCAGCGATAGACAGGGGAACAACTTGGGAATTAAAAGCAACAACAAGGAGGACGTAGAGATCCCAGTGACATTGGAGCAACAGCATCTAGCTGAGAGGAATTACTAAGAGGCAGAAGAAGGATAAGTATGATGGTGGGGCAGGAGGAAGGTAAAAGGAAACGGGAAATATCTAGGAAGCAAATCTATGGATATGTGTATAAACATATGTGTGTACAGATGTAAATATATTAATTCATAACAATAGAGCTAGAACAGAGGATGTGCACTGGTACAGATAGGAACTGGAAACGCAGGGAATCCTGGACAGATGATCCCTTCAGGGCCAGTGGTGAGAGTGGCAAAACCGGGTGGGTGGAGGGAGGGTGGGGTAGAAAGGGGGAACCAATTACAGGAATCTATATATAACCTCCTCCCTGGAGGACAGACAACAGAAAATTGGATGAAGGGAGACGTCAGACAGTGTAAGATACAACAAAATAATAATTTATAAATTATCAAGGGTTCATGAGGGAGGGGGGAGCAGGGAGGGAGGTGGCAAAATGAGGAGCTGATGCCAGGGGCATATATGGAGAGCAAATGTTTTGAGAATTATGAGGGTAATGAATGTAAAAATGTGTTTTTATACAACTGATGTATGTATGGATTGTAATAAGAGTTGTATGAGCCCCCAATAAAATGATTTTTCTTTAAATTTTTTAAACAATAGAGGTATTGGCATATGTACATATGTGTATAGGGCAATGCATTGAGGAAATAGACAGATATTGGGCCTCTGCTCAAGCTTTCCCTCAATGCAAGAATGCTCTGTTCTAACAACGTGGCATTATGTGATGCTCACTCTTCAAACATGTTTTCTGAAGACAAAATGGGTGCATAAGTAAATGTAGTGAAGAAAGCTGATGGTTCCCGGCTACCAAAAGGTATAGTGTCTGAGGTCTTAAAGGCTTGAAGTTAAACAAGCAGCCATCTAGCAGGGAAGCAACAAGTCGACATGGAAGAAGCACACCAGCCTGTGCAATCATGAGGTGTCAACAGAATCAGGTCACAGGCACCAGAAGACCCAAACAACAACAACAACAACAACAACAAAAACATATTGTTCAGGATGAAGGGGGTCAGAGCAAGGACCCAAAACCCCTCTGTAGACAATATTAATTATCTAGCCACAAAGAGGGTCAGAGGATGGCAGATAGTGGAATCGGGTCATTGTCCATCTTGGTAAAAGAGGCAGCCTAGCCTGCAATGGTAGACAAATGATAATTCCCTTTTCCTCAGCTAAGCCAGCTCTTTTTCCCAGGAAGCCTCAGAATCCTTCCTAGTGTGCCATGGAAGGCACCTGTGGACAATGGCACAGCCGGGTGGATTTCTTCAGTCACCCCTGCTTTAGGTGGCAATTTCCCCAGAGGGTGAGGTCCTCCTCTCTCTCACAAGTCAGTACATTACCCTAGAAGGTCTGGCCTTGGGCTAGAAGTCTACACCAGGTGATGCACTTACCTGAGCATCATATTCCAGTAGAGGAAAGGCATCAAGTCGGCTTTCATGAGGTACATGGAGAGGCGTTCTTTGCTCTGGTCAAAGGGAAATGTTTCCAGAGGCTGAGCATTGTAGTCAAACTCCGCGAGAATCACACGGTTGTAGCCAGTGACCAGTGGGCAAGATGTGTAGCCATCATACTAAAATTAAAAATGAACTGGAGTCATCAGAGTGTGCCTCTTATATACTGTTATATAAACACCAATCTATATCTAATATTGACTCGGAGTGTTGTCAGCTTTTTTCAGATAGATAGATAGATAGATAGATAGATAGATACATACATACATACATACATACATACATACATACATTGATTGATTCTCAATTTGTACAGTGAAATTAACAAAAATGCCATGATAAAGGCAATGACTGAAGTATCCTTATTAGAGTAACAAAGTAAAAAAGTGGCAAAATAACGAAGAAACGGTATTTGCCTGCCAAGTGGAAGCTGATCATGGAAACGAGGGTCCCAACAAGCCGCCCATACCTTCTTCACTGGCGTCTGGTTCTTCATAACCAGGGAAATGGTTCTGTCGAGGATTCCCGACTGAGCGGCTGTAAGAGAAGTGGCAGAGTCAGAAACGCCCAAACATCTAGGTCTTCCATGGAAACACACTTGTTTTCTACAGTATGCTTAGAGCAGGCATGATATACCATTTCACCAATAAATATTTCTCTGTGCATTTCTGACACATGAGGATTGTTTAACATAAGACACATGATTCCACCCCAAAATATTAACAGTAATTCTTTCATATCTGCTCATCCCAGTCCATGTTCAACTTTAACTAATCAAAACTTCTCTTCTAGCGATAAAAACAGTTAGGGTCTCCTGAGGTGGAAGACTGGACTTAGCATTGAGGAAAGATAGGTGAGCTTCATATCATAAAGTGCTCCTTAAAGAGGTTATTTTTAACCGCTGCAACCAGAGATAGGCAAACCTTTTGTTAAAATGCCAGTTAGTATATATATTAGGCCCGGGGAGTACCCAGAAGCAAAATTGGAGGTATGTAACAAGATCGGAAATAGAAATTCACAAAAAATGTTATTGACAAAATTCAAAATCTGATTCCTTGTGCCTTTTAAAATACAGGTGCACTGTTCAGAAGAATGGGACTTTTCCCCCCTTAGGATAATATTTCACTCCGCAGGGTTCAGAGTTAGCGTCCCCGTCAAAGACCATCTGGAGAACCAGTCTCAGCGGCACTGCAAGAAAACAAAGAACGGGGAGCCGGTGACCCACCAGCTGCTAACACGGCCCCAAATCAAAAGAGCAATGAACTTTTTCTCTGGAATGAGCGGTTCTAAAAATAAAAAGTACACAACTCTGCTTTAAAAATATTAAATGAAGGAGGGGAAAAATGAGGACCTAATGCCGGGGGCATAAGTGGAGAGGAAATGTTTTGAGAATGATGAGGGCAATGAATGTACAAATGCGCTTTACACAATTGATGTATGTATGGGATGTGATAAGAGTTGTATGAGCCCCTAATAAAATGATTGAAAAATGTATATTAAATGGTCATCTTCATTATGGAGAAAGGAATACGTTGAATGGTTGTATTTCCCTTTTCAGAAACATTGTTCTTCTTCGGGTACTTCCAAGAAACAAGGAAAAGCGAGGCCCCCCTGCCTTCGTTCAAGTCCATTCTGCCTCACAGGAACCCTGTACAGGATTTCCCAGACTGTCAATCTCTCGGGGATCGGTAGCCTCATCTTTCTCCCTCGGAGCATCCGGAGGGTTTGAAGAGTCATTCTTGTGGGTAACGGCCAAATGTCTGGCACACACCATCACCAAGCTTCCTTTGAGAACATAGAAGACTTGCTATCTGTATCAGGGACACCTGAACCCCAAACAAATCTCACTGCCATCAAATCAATTCTGACTCAGAATGACAGACACTATAGGACAGAGTAGAACTGCTCTATGCGTTTCCAAGATGGTAAATCTTTGTGGGAGTAGAAAGCCTGGTGATTTTGAACTGCTGACCTTGTGATTAGCAGCCCAACATGTAACCCCTACTCCCCCAGAGTAGGACAAGCCAAGAGAGGAGTGGTAGAAGCCTGTAGTTAATTTTTATTAAATACCACATCCTGGTCTTGTGCTGAGCTCAGAGAAGGGAGAATCCTGGGGCAAAGGGAAGCAGAGAAGGAAGTACACACACACACACACACACACACACACACCCCAAAAAAACCAAATTCCTCAAGACAAGAGTCTCCCTCACACTAGCAGAGTGGTTTGGAGTGAGGCAAGACAACAGTGCTGGGTAAAGCCCAGAACATCTCTGGGGACCGAGGGTGGGCATTTCTTATGAGTCCTCCGAGGACTGGGAAGTGGGGAGACAATGAGCAATGAGACTTCCTGCAGCTCCACTGGGGGGGGGCGGCGCCTCGGGCTTCGGGTGTAGACACCAAGGAGCACAACATTTACTGCATGGCAAGCGGGTGGGGATCCCCCAAGGACAAATAAAAAAAGCACTTGTTCAGGCAGCTTTGGAGCAATGACACAACACAAGGCAAATTCTTTTTTTTATAAGGAACAAGATGAGAAAACACAGCGGACGCTCCGTATGCCCTAAGACTTGCGGATTAAGTGAAAAATGACACTCGTCTGCTACAGCCCCTGTCCAGGAGAAAACAGAAGGGGTGGGTTTTTTATTTGCCGGTATTTGGATAAAGCAACTCTGGGATGTAAAAGACATAAAAGTGATACGTGGTGCCGAGACTGAGCAGATGGTAAGCAGGGAGCAAGGCATTTCCCTTATAACGTTGTGTCTAACAATATTTAATATCACCCATTTAAAATCGAGTGAGAGGGTCACTGTGAGCCAGTGAGTTTGTTTGCTTATTTCATTTTGTGTGTGTGTGTTTTTCTCGGTCATTTGAAGCATTGAATGCAAAGCTTGTTTGGAGTTGCAGGGGGGTGGGGTGGGGGGCTTGTTTGTTGTTAAGTAGCTAGCAGACATCATGAGGCGCCCTGGGGCAACAGTGGGTTCAAGTTGGGGTATAAACCAAAACACTCTGAACCGCCAGCTGCTCGTGGGGGGAAAGATGCGGCTTTCTGCTCCTGAACAGAGTTACAGCCACAGAAACCCACAGCAGCTCTTCCCTGTCCCCCCTCAATTCACTGCCATTAGACTCACGGGGGGGGGGCTTCCAGGATGGTGTAGAACCGCCTGGGGAGGGGGAGGGGGCGTGTTGAGGCTGTAAGTCTTTATGGGAGTAGAAAACCTCCTCATTCTCCCTCC